AGAAGAGTTCTAAACTAATGCGCTGTCTTCACTGTATCTCACGCACACACGATTTTAGTCACTCACACAGATCACGTTGCGCGCGCGCACAGGCATTCAGTAACACAAACTTTTTAGCGCTGACCCGCAATTTTATCAATAAATAGCATAATCGCTCAAGAGCTACATTAACTTTCTCAACAAGGAACTGGTAACATCATCGTTTCTAAAGGAATTAAAGCCACAGCTTCGTTGACAAAGATAAGCAACACACTTAGCAGATATTTCCGTATTGCGCAAGTGCAAAGCACTGTTTCGGGGATTACGTCTCTTTATATCAGGCAACCCCGGTTGTGTTCCTCTGCGGCCAGATTAAACCTGGCTGTAGCCTATATATTATGCTCTATTCCTTATTTTTTTAGAAACATCGCACTTTTCGACTCCATTTTAAACGGTGCTCTCGTATTCAAATTAAGCGCGGTCCACTGCTGCACACGTGCCACAATATCGATACTGGGACAGCTGTATCGATACTAGTATCATCAAATCTCTGTGACGATACATCGTCGTATCGATGTATCGAACACAGCACTAATTAACACTGTTATTTTCTGGTTTACTTTTGTGAAGCTGCTTTGAATCAATTTGTATTGTATAAAGCGCTATAGAAATAAATGTGATGACTTGAAAAAATATGTAGCTTGCCTATACTCACCTCTAAAAGACAAAACTCATTACTTTGCATGTCGGTCAGATGAGCTCTTCCTGTCTAAGTGGGTGATTTTGGCCAGAATAAACTGTAGCATACACATTTTTTATTGCTGTGACCTCATCGGTCATCGCTCTCGTCACAGGTCGCTCTGACCAGACGCTCGTGATCCCAGTGGGTGTTGAAAGAGAGCGGAGGTGTGACTAGGGCAGGTTGACTTCCTGTTTTCTGGTGTTCCTCACTATTTATTAGCCTTTTCAAACACTAGACAGCTCTGTTTTGCTCTTCATCAGTGGGAGAGAGTGAGTGGGAGAAGAGAGGAAGCCAGAGAAAGACACTATTCACAAAAATGTACTATCATACTATGTGCTTCTCCAGTAAATAGTATGTGTATTTGCACTGAATGCATTGAATGTCCAGATGACCAAAAATGCACAGTATGCAATAAAGCGCACAGCGTGAGATTCTGTATCCCAATACAGTGAACTCAGAAACCTTCCATCTCCATTGTGATGAATGAACTGGAAGAAATGACATCTCTCTTTTGATTTGTTGTTTGATCTGACTACTGATTAAGACATTTTCAAAATTGGATTCAAAATACGAAATGAAATTTAAGTAATAAAATGAATTAATAAAAGTAATACAAAGTAAAATAAATTAAGTAAAAAAAATCATTTTACTAGATAACTGCATGCTGGTCAGGGTTATTTTAGTATCATTGAGATAATATCACAGTTTATATTCATATTTAAAATTATTTTAATTTTTTCTGTTTAAATTTTTATATTCATTAAATATAAAATTTCATTTTTCAGTTTTAGCAATTTTGTTGTGTTTTTGTCATTTTATTTTATTTTTAGAATGTATCTATATGAATTTTATTTAATTTTTAGTTGTAGTTATTTTATTACATCAGGTTTAACTAAATGATAATAAGAAATGTTGCCTTGGCAACGTGCTGAAATAAAATAAGTTTTTGTGTATTTCATTTTATTTCAGCTAAAGTTTAATTTATTTCAAGTAATAAAAATAGTTTTATGGTTATGCTGATGAGGTCATGTGACCTAAATTTAGGCATACTACTGTTAGAAATGTTAGTTGTCACATAATCCATTTTAAAATAGTATGTGAAATAGGGTTGCAAAAAGTTGGAAAATTGGAAAACATTCCAGAAATTTTGGAAACTGTCCAGGATTTTTTTTTTATATTCCAGGAATTTTTGGAAAGTTTCCCGAAATTTACCGGAAATTTTCCACTCCTTTGCAACCCTAATGAAAGCATTTCTTATTGTATTTTTTTTAAATAGTAGGCAGCTTACAGTACACACTGCACAGTGTTCACTTTGTAGTAAGACAGTATTCCATTCAAAACATAGCAAATGAGTTTTCCCAGAAGCCTGTAGTTTATTTCACCTAAAGTGACACTAAACAATCACAGCTCATCAGGTTTAACAGCAGTTCAATAAACATTAAAAGCAAGAAAATTTAATAAAAAACAGTATGATGAAGAAAAGAAAGACTTGAGGAGCAGTGTTTAATCAGTGCTGTGAATAGCGTGCAATGAAAATACATCTGAGAGCCGTTGTTCTGTATTATTATTGAGCTCTGCTAATTAGTTTTGGTTCTCTTGATGGCGTTCAGGGTTTACAGTGAAAACCGCCTGTGGATTCTGCCACATTTTTAATCTAAACTCAATCTCACTGGCTCTATTTGTTTTTATTAAGATGACTGAATCAATCTTGTGTTAGAAGAGTGTCAGTCAACTCATGTTAATGCTAAACGTGCTGTCGATTTCACTGGGGCTGTTGACTTGATTATTTCAGATGTTTATTGTAGCGTCTGGACCAATCAAACACACAATTTTTCATTTGATTTAACAAATCAGTTATTCATTAGATTAAATCTTGTATCTTGTATAAAGTCTTAAAGTCTTGTATCACACTTGACGTTGTTCATTGTTTGCTCATAACTGGAGTCCCTAATCATGCAGATTTATGCTACAGGCTCTGTGTAGAGTTGTACAGTAAGAAAGTTATTTCCCTTAACCAGGAAATTAACGTTCTTAGAATTGACAGACAGTTGACCCTGAGAGGTCAAGTAAATATCTACAGCGGATCTAAATATTTATAATTAATTATAACTAGTTATGATTAATTATTCATATTTCCCCATGAGCTGATTCGCTACATTATCAACCTGTTAACTGTGTTTTCTGCTCCTTAAAGAATCATACTGCTGGGCAATATTTAGAGGATTTGCAATATATGTGCAATTATTTTACTGTCAGTATGTGCTAATAGGACATTTAAAACAAGTTTTGATCTCTGTGCTTGATCAGGAGAGCCGTACCTGCTCAGTGCCCAGCGCAGGTGTCCCGGCGGTGGGATGCAGGATCCCGCTGGTGTCCATCCGTTCCCACCCGCAGATGAAGGCCTCAGACTCGGCCTGGCTAAAGGGGTCTCCATGTCTCTCCCATCATCCCCTCTCCTGCCCCGGCAGACATATGTGATGGCGGCTCGCCCGTGCAAGAAGTCTCCAGGTGGGATATTTATCATTTCATCCGTTTTAAAGCATCGAAATGTCGGTGCATCAGCAGCTTTTTGGCTGAGCGATGGGCTGCTCTGTTTCGGCAACAGCTGCTGTTCTGTAATTCAGTTTGGTTTTGCTAGCGGTGCAGAAATTACAAACTTGAACTGTGAAGTTTCTGAGTGAATCTCACAAGAACATGTCGAGGTCGCCCTGAAATGAAAAGAAAGAAATAAAGAAATTATAGTTGTATTTTAGGACCGTTAAAATTTTTGGCAACACTTTTCTTGAGGTCTTAATGAATAATGCATTTTTTACATTATATATTTTTAAAATAATTATAAGCAAAGATAAAATGCATTATATATGCAGATTCCTTGTGGCATTGATTGTCATGTGTTTTAATGCATTATATTTTCTGTGTAACAATTAATAAATAATAGTGTTAATTTTGTCAGCCGTTTTTAATTTAGTCTTAGTCTTTTAAATTAGTCTTAGTCTTAGTCCTGTGTCAAATGTACTTTTTAGTTATCATATTTAGTCAATCTTGTCCTGTTTTTGTTCAGTCAAGTTTTAGTCGACTAAATGTCTGAGCATTTAGTCACATTTTTGTCATGCTGTATAATGGTTAACTGATAAAAAAAAAATTTTTTTGTTCAAAGTTATAATCGCAATGATTGTTGTCATTTGAGAAATTTACATTTCAGGTATTGCATTGCATTCATCAGTAAGCACAGATCAATAGAATGTGGACTCATACACATGGTTTATTTGACCTCATCTAGTGTACTGATTTACAGTATTACAGGCTATTTAATATATGAATTAATATCAATGACTTAGATATGCACTCTTTCTGTCTACTTTATGAAAACTAGTAAAAACAAACAAAATATTTTAACAGTGAAATTCCTAATAATAATTCCAATAATTCCAAATTGCAATAATGTTTCTCTATTAAAACAACAGCGGTTGAGTAAGTGCATTTATTCAGCAACAATCACAAACGCAAACAAAACAGTGGAGATCTCGTGACAGAACACAGACCGGCTGAATGACACTTTCATTTAAGCTAAACTCCAGCTTGCTTGTTTGTCGGTGTTTTCAGATCATCGTCGGTGCTTCCGTAATGAAGAGTGAGCACTTGCGCATGGTTGACAGATTGCAAAACTTAAGAGAAACACAGAGCAGAAAATGCATCCTTTTAACAGAGAAGCTCAGATTTAGGGATTTGTACTCTTAATATCTGGCAACCGCAAACATGAAAACTTGCATAGTAGAGGCGTGTACAGCAGTCCACAATAATATTTTGTCTCCTTTTTTTTGACAAAATAAAAAGAGCTTTTGGTATAGTTATTTTTTTAAATACATTTTAGTCTTGTTTTTTTAATCGTCAACGATATTGCATGTTGATATAGTCACAGTTATCGTCTATTGGCTTTATTGTCACCTCGTCATCATCTCGTTTTAGTCATGGGGAAAAAAGCTCATCAAACGAACATTTTTCATCATGGTTTCCATTAATAAATAAGCTAATAACCCAGCTGCTGTGATGTCTGTTAATCAAAGATAAAAGGAAAAAAAGGAAATCAATAACTTTTGTAGCTTTAAGGATTCATCTATATTTAATTTAGAATTTAGTATTTGATAACTTTGTTCAATTTCTGTATATTTAATTTCCTACTTGCTGAAGGGCACAGGTAGCTAAATATGACATTTATTCAAATGGGTTTATGTGAAGATTGTTTTAAGTTCACTTAAATTAGAAGTTGTTATTTTTTTTAAGTCTAATAAATGTTAAAATTGAAAGCTCAATTATACTGTAATGTTGAATGAATATAGTCAGTGGTTAAATATTAGAGGGAAAAAAACAATTTCATAGAGACATCAGTAGTAGTAGTATTATCAGTGATACTGGCCTTGAGTCATAAAAAAAGATGCCATTAAACAAATATTAAAAGTATACTGTCTTTATGTTGTTTCTACATTAATTTGAAGATTATTTAATTTTTAAGATTATTTTAATTTGAATGTGAAATTATTGCAATATAAAAGTATATTTTAATTTTTATTGTTAGGAGGGATTAATCACGATTAATTTCAGAAAAAAAGTGTGATTAATTTTATTTATTTTTTATCGATTGACAGCACTTCATATATTATATTATATTATAATAATAATTTTTTTGGTATCACAGTAATGAGATTTTTTTTTTCAGATTTATGATAATGAAATTTTTTGGAAAATTGTGCTTAATTGTCATTAAAAATAATGATCTTGAAAGAATTTAGGTTCATACTGAGATCTTAGATTTAGGTTGGAGACTTTTGTTTTCTTTTGTGTTTCTGCATTTCAAATTGTTCGTCCAGTTGTATTATTGTGTGTTCTTGTGCATTTGTTTAGCTTTGACTCTTTGTATTTTTGTATGTAAGGTTGAAGTTAATTTGCATGTTGATTTAGTTAGTGTGTGTACATGCAAACACAAGTGTGTGTGTGTAAACACAGTCTGAGGTGTTTTCACACCATCTCTGTGTTAAGGACAAGGCCATGAGCAGCTGAGATCTTCAAAGGGTTTGCAGCTTGTCTCTGGACTTGTTTCGACCTGGGCTTTGTTGTTGGAGGATTTAGCACAGAGGATTGAAATTCTTTCAGTGGTCGCTTTGGCATCTCGCTCACATCTGCTCCTCATGTGTGTTGATTCAGCAGCTCTCTTTGAAAAGGGGATCGATGCCTTGAAGGCACCGGAAACAAGCGACACACTCGGACGAATTTACCCTTTGCACATTTCATTAGTCTGACAATTAAAGAAGGATAAACGTCCAAATGAGATCCCCCTGGAGTACCAGATCCTCAGGGAGGGATTTATTACAGACGTCGGAAACATGTGAGATTGAGGGTTTGTTTTGACCTCCGCAAATCTTGAAAATGTTGGTTGGGACAGTTGCATGTAGTTTTAAATGAACTAAAGGAAAAATCATATCTAATCATTTTCCTTTGCACTACCGTTCAAAAGTCTGGGGTCAGTAATATTTTATTTGCAAAAAATTTATATTTTATTCAGCAAGGATGCATTAAATTGATCAAAAGTGGCAGTAAAGACATTTATAATGTTACAAAAGATTTCTATTTCAAATAAATGCTGTTCTTTTGAACTTTCTATTCATCAAATAATCAAGTTTCCACCCAAATATGATGCAGCACAACTGTTTTCAACATTGATAATAATCAGAAATGTTTCTTGAGCAGCAAATCAGCATATTAGAATGATTTCTGAAGATCATGAGACACTGAAGACTGGAGTAATGATGCTGAAAATTTAGCTTTGATCACAGCAATAAATTACATTTTACAATATGTTCATGTAGAAAATAGCTATTTTAAGTTGTAATAATATTTCACTATTTTTACTGTATTTTTGATCAAATAAATGCAGCCTTGGTGAGCAGAAGAGACTTCTATTAAAAAATCTTACTGACCTCAAAAGTTTGAACAGTAGTGTATATTCACCAATATAACAATACATATCCATTAACAGTGATATTTTTCTTCATATATTTTTACAAAAACATTTAATATATGAAAAATGTCATACAAAAACATTTTTGAGTAATGATTTAATTTTTGAAAAGAGTAAAAAATGTAATTTTAACAGATGAAAAATGCTTCAAAGAATAAATAATTAATTCAGAAATTAATAAAAAAACTTTGTCATTTTAAAATTAACCCATAATTTAACCCTTCAAACCAACGTTGGTCATGCATGACTTAAACTGTATGTCCTATTAAAACATCAGTGTTTATATCACGTAACCTGTTTATCTGTTGAAGCAGAGGTTTTTCTGGGAAAATCTTCACTGGGAGGAATTAAAAAATGACCATAATTAGGTTCAGATGGACTTGATACATGGACCCCCTGTTTAGATTGTGGAAGTAATAACATGGATAATGTGTGAGTTATTGTCTTAAACCCTGGCCTGGATGATAATGACTGAATGGACCTTATTCGGCTGTGCCGAAGGGAATCTTTGGGAATGGTTGTTGTTGTTAGGAGCATCAAAGGCCTGCTGATGAGTTTCATGTGGACAGTGTGTGGTCATTGCTGACCACAGGAAAATAGGACATGAGCTCATTTTAGTAAGCACAGGTCCTTGAATGTAGGGCTGTGCGATTAATCGAAATCGTCATTAAATCGCGATTTGTGCTTGCGCGATTTCTAAATCGCTTTATAGCACGATTTTCCGCGCCCCCGACCTCCCGCAGTATGCTATCCGAACCAATCAGAATGCAGCGCGCCTAAATGGAGCACGAGAACAGAACAGACCGGGCGGGCATACAAACGTAACGCCAGGTTCACACACTCCGTCTGTGGTGCGTATTTTTTCCGCGCCCATGTTAACGGATCAGAGCGTTCACACTGCACGCGATTGCGGTCCGGCAGTGCGCTCCAGGAGCGGTGCGTCTGCAGCAGTCATGCTGCGATCGTTTCCGCACGGAGTCTATAGGCCCGGGTATACTTCACTCTCCGCGTTCCGTTCCGTCTCGCAGCACAGCCGCATCCGCACAGCTTTCAAAGTATACTCAACCGCGGATGAGTGCGGACGGACGAACTCGACACAGGCGCAAGTCTATTTCTGCTGTGCTGCACGCGCTGAATTAAAGTGACAGCGTATTAATTTGAGCTGCTTCTTTGTCTAGATTCCAGCTCTGCTCGCTCCGGACATTCATTAACCGACTTCATCAGGTGCATCACGGGATGCTTTTAAATGCTAACGAAGAAGGAATATGTGTGATGAGAACATTAAAGCATAAACCTTCATTTTAAAAGTTTTAAAATCATGGAAAACATATTCATTCAAGCCTGTGCGTGTATTAAAGGTCCCATATTGTACACCTTTCTGGAGTTTTATTTTAGGTTTTGATGTCCTTAAGAATATATATTTGTGAATTAACTCATGATTAATTGATCAAATAAACAGTAAGTAGTTTGATTAAATAAACAAATAATAAAAATA